CATTAGCTGGGCATGGTGGCACGTGCCTGTAGTTGCAGCTACTTGGAAGGCTAAGGCAGAAGGATCACCTGAGCCCAACAGGCCAAGGCTGCGATGGCTGTGAGCATGCCACTGCACTCTAGTCTGGGCAGCAGAGTGAGACTCCAACTGAAAAACAAAAAACAGTGAAATCCCACTTAACACCCACTTGAATGTCTAAAACTTAAAAGACTGATGAGGCCAGGCTTGGTGGCTCCACCTGCAATCCCAGCACTTTGGGAGGCCGAGGCAAGTGAACTGCCTGACCCCACGGATTCAAGACCAACCCGGGCAACTTGGCAAGACTTTGTCTCTACAATAAATCAAAAAATTAGCTGGGTGTGGTAGTGTGTGCCTGTAGTTCCGGCTACTTGGAAGGCTGAGGTGGAAGGATCGCCGGAGTCCCGCTGGTCGAGGCTGAGGTGACTGGGAGTGTGCTACTGCACTCCAGTCAGGGCGACAGAGTGAGACTCCAACTCCCAAAAAAAAGACTGATGATTAAAAATACTGACAAAGATTGGGACCACCTGGAACTCTTATCCTGCACTGATGATGGTATAAAATGGTATAACCACTTTGTGGAAGTGTTTGGCAGTTGCATAAAAGTAACTTGTATTCATCCATGGTCAAGCGTGGTGGCTCACACCTGTAATCTTGCCACTTTGGAAGGCTGACACAAGAGGATTGCTTGAGCCCAGGAATTCGAGACCAGCCTGGGCAACATAGCAAAACCTTGTCTCTACAAAAAATAACAATAGTTATCCGGGTGTGGTGGCATGTGTCTGTAGTCCTAGGTGGAAGGATCACATGAGCATGCCAGCACACTCCAGTCTGGGTGACAGTGAGATTCTGCTTCAAAAAAAAAAAGAGTGTACTAGAGTTCATGGAAGAATCTTAAAGGAGGGAAGGAAAGGTGCAAATTAATACAGAGTCTGGTACCGTGTATGTAACATTTGTGAACATATTTGTGGGCATATGCATTTACAGTAAATATGTAATTGTGCAGGAGAATGATGAACACCAATGATTATTTCCAAAGAGAAGAATAAAATTCTCATTTCTAAAAAATGCTGACTTTTTTTTTCCGAGTTGGAGTCTCACTCTGTCGCCTAGGCTGGAGTGCAGTGGCATGCTCTTGGCCACCGCAGCCTGAACCTGCTGGGCTCAGATGATCCTTCTGCCTCAGCCTTTCAAGTACAGGCATGCGCCACCATGCCCGGCTAATTCTTTGATTCATTGTAGAGATGAGGTCTTGCCAAGTTGCCCGGGATGGTCTCGAACCCGTGGACTCAGGCAATCCTCTCCCTCAGCCTCCCAAAAGACTGGGATTATAGGCGCAAGCCACAGCGCCTATCCAAATACTGACATTTATGGTAAATGTGGCAAGATAAAATAAATCTTGGTGGATACATACATGTTTGGTTATTTTTGTGATTTTTTTAAGTTGTGGGGTATTATTCAGGGTTAGATATACAAATGGTCATTTTGTAGATGAAATTTGGGCTTCACCTTGGTCCCCACTTCACCTGGTCTGAGATCAGGTACCCTTACTGATGAGGTGTACCCCACCCCTGGCAGTTTCCCACTACTGCCAATCCCTTTCTTATAGTATTATGATAATTGTCCAGGGTCCGCTTATGAGTGAGAACGTGTGATACTCAGTTCTTTGTTTCTGTGGTAGATCACTCAGTATTATAGACTCTAAGTCCATCCCAGTTGCTGCGAAGGTGTTTGTTTTTATTCTCTGCATTTTTCTGAACATTGAGGTAGATCATACCCAAAATGCAAAAACCGGTGAGAGCAAAGCCACAGCCAGCAGGTGAGGGTGGACTGTGGGTGGGGTCTGGCTGACAGGACCGGTGCCGCAGCCTCCACTCGCCAGCCTCAGGACTCCAGGCCTCGGTGGCACACTGCGCCCCAAGCTCCTTCCTTACATCAGTTACCCAGGATCCCCTTCTTATCCGCGGGTGGTGGACCGGGCCGGCTGCCTCAGAAGACCTTTCTTTGAATCCTGGCTCTGGGCAAGGGAACTCCTTGCACCCTCAGTCTCCTTGGCCCTTCAGTGGTGACAGGAATGTGTTCTTCACACACCGATGGGCAGGTGTGTCTTGAGTGCATACTGTGTGCTGAGCAGCTATGCTGGGTGCAGAGATACGCTAAGTGAAGACACTGCTTTCACGGTCATCTTCAACCTTCAGTCTCAGCATTGCCAAGGAAACCCTTAAAAAAGTAAATACAGCTGGGCATCCCTGAGAGAACCACTGATTAGGTCCAGCCTTTGATGGGCCAGGCTGGGGTGCCTGTTTCTATAACACCCCCTCAGAGATGTTTCCAATATTCAGGAGTGGCTGAGAATCTTTGCCCCATGGTCTGTGTTCTTTGGGAGCAGTAATCAATTGTGTTTTTCTTGTTCCCTACCATGTCCCTAGAGCCTGACACGTAGTAGGTGCTCAGTAAATATTTGTTGAATGAACAAATGAAAGAAAAGCGACATTGTCACTGTACCCCAGAACTGATAGTCTTACCAGGGTAAAGCAGACAAACCTATTCTGGCGGGCACTAAATGAAATAAAGCATGTCATGAGATTGAGTGTACTGCCTGGCACAACGCAGCGGATGTTTAGTTCACGTTAGTAGAACCTTTATGGAATAACTCCTCAGTCCCATCTCTGTCCTTAGTCACTGACTTCTCGTCTTATGAGAAAACAAAATTAACATATTTGTGTCATCACCGTTTCAGTCGCACACAGACACTCCGCCGTCACTTCAGAGTCTGCCTTTCTGAACCTCACGCGTGCGGCTTCTGCCTCCTCTCCCGCCTCAGTCTCGCTCTCCGGCCCGGCTGTCTGACTTCTGTCACCGACACTGTCTTTCTTCCATTTTCCCAAGCTAGCTGCCTTGCAGGCCTCTGTGAGCTTTTCCTCTGTACAGTATGTTCTGAAGTTCTGTTTGCTCACTGCTCCTGCGCCCCGTCTTGTGCTGGGTGCTGAATCGCTGTGACCGCTCCAGGAGGCAGTAGGTGTGGCGGTGAAGACAGACGCGTCACCCTGGGGAAGTCTGATTCCAGCTCTGTCACTTGCTGGCTCAGGGACCTTAGGAAGGTTAATCTGTCTTTTCACCTGTAAACAGCCACAGGACTGTTGTAAGAATTAGTGGTCTTAAGATGAACAGTGGCAGGTATATACTATAACTGTGAGCTATTGCTGCTAAATACGTCGTATTGGCCGGGCGCAGTGGCTCATGCCTGCAATCCCAGCACTTTGGGAGGCTGAGGGGAGAGGATTGTTGAGCCCAGGTGTTCGAGACCAACCTGGGCAACATGATGAGACCTTGTCTCTGCAATACATCAAAAAATTAGTCGGACATGGTAGCACATGCCTGTAGTCCCAGCTATTTGGGAGACTGAGGCAGAAGGATCTCTTGAGCCCAGCAGATCGAGACTGCCGTAGCTGTGATCACGCCACTGTACTCCAACCTGGGTGACAGAGTGAGACTCCAACTCAAAAAATAATAAATCAATCTGTTGTCTTTTTGGTTACATTGTAGCTCCATTAAGTTATATTTTTCTTGGTATCCCTCTGCAGTACTTATCACAGTAAAAGGCATATGGCGAGCTAAAAATATCTATCAAATTTAGCTTTATGTTTAATAGTAAAACATTCACTTTTCTTTAAAGCCTGAGAAGATAATTGTAGGACTTCTTTGGAATCTGATTCTTGCTATCTGAAAACGAGTAACGTAACATGAAGTTACAGTGAGGCAAATGAATGTGTTCTGGATGAAACAGTTAATTAGTGTCTTGGAATGGTGATAACTTTCAGAGGTGGATGTGCTGGGTCAGTGTGTCTGGAAATTGACTAAGCATACCAGCTGCCTGGAGTGCTTGTAGAAGTGCAGACTTCTGGTCTCGAATCAGAATCTCCAAGAGAGGCATGAGAATCTATTTTTTTTTCCTCTTTTTTTCCTCTTCCTTTCAAAACCTTGGCTAATTCTTACAAGAGACAATTTTAGATAATGCTGTTCTAGACAATGTTCTTTCTTTTATAGGTTTCAACTGGATTTCTGTAGGCAAAACGTTCTGATCCAGCTATTCATGTTTCTTTGCCTTGTTTCTAAAACACTTCAGGCCTGAGGACTTGCGCCGTGAGTTTGGCCGCTATGGCCCCATAGTAGATGTTTACATTCCACTTGACTTCTACACTCGCCGCCCGAGAGGATTTGCTTATGTTCAATATCCTTTGTTTTATTGTGTGCATGTGAATCTGCTGCATGCATGTGCTTATACATGCATGTATTCAGGAGCATTTGACGCAAGATTAATATTGCCTAATTAAATGTGTTTATTTCTTTATCTCAGAAAATCTAAAGCAGTCCACAGTAGCTGGCAAGCGCCCCCAGTTTGAACCAACCTGTTAGCTAGAGTCCAAGCATAAACCGAGCAGGCAAGACAAAAGACACCTAAAGTTCAAGCATCGAGGAATAAAGAGGGAGGGTGGACACAGATATAAAGACCTGGAAGAGGGGAACTCTTTATCAAGCAAAAGACAGCACCAGGTTGAGACTTCGGCTTTCCTACATTTACTCAGAGTTCCAGAGTCAAAGCCAAGTCTGATATTGTTGGTTCTGCATCTCTTATAAAGTCCATCTTGCAAGCCTTAAAGAGTAAAGGTCAAGGTTCAAGATCAAGTGACACTGAGGTAATTGCCAAAGTCTCATTCTGTATTGTATTTCTTGAGCTTTATGTTTGCTATTTTATAAAAAATTAAACCAGTGAACAACCTCCTAAAATAACAGCTACTTTATCATTTTTATACAGCTAAGTGCTATATAGTTAGGCTTAAATATAACTTACGTAGATAGGGAAGTTTAGTGTGGTATTACAAACCGATATATGTTATTTCAGATGTTTATAGAATGCTATTGTTTCTTTTATACTTCCATTCCAAGTAGTAAAAACATAAAGAAATGCTTAAAGTGATAGGTTCAAAGGTAGATATCATTTTTAAAGGGCTAAATCAGTTTTTGTTTTAACTCTCTTGTATATGTGCAGTTTACTTATTATAAATAATTTCTCCTAAGTGTCATAATTTAAAAGCCTTTTAATGAAAGAGTAATTTTAATTTCAGACTAAAGGCTTCTGCATGCTGATACTCAGTGAAAAACCTGATGGATCCTTTGTCTGAGAAAAGGGAGTGAGTCCTGAACAGTTTATTTAATAATGCTCGCCAATTTTTGACTTTTTTCTCATAGCGTGTTTCCAATTATACATGCATACTGCAGCTATGCTAATGTGTACATTAAAAGTACAGTTACACATTTGCTTTTGTTCTTTTTATTTTTAGATTCACTCTTCTAAATCATAATGGTCATTTCTTTTCATAGTAAAAAGGGAAAGTTTTTTCTGCTTATCCATATGATATGGAATGTGAATTTAATAACTTGAACTTGTTTTTCCTATTTCATGTCACATGTAAATAATACTTTTAAAACATTTTACATGATATCTGATGTTCAAAGTGTCCTTAACAGCTAGTCATGTTTGAAGATGTCCGAGATGCTGAAGATGCTCTTTATAACCTCAATAGAAAGTGGGTATGTGGCCGTCAAATTGAAATCCAGTTTGCACAAGGCGATCGCAAAAGTAAGTGTGACTTACCATTAGATTTTGTTTATTCAGCAGAACGAGTTTCATCAGTGACTGTTTTTTTAATGTACTAGTCATGTGGCTGTTAAGCAATATTCAGGTAATGAATTGTGGTGTAACCTTGTTCTTTCCGTTCTAGCACCAGGCCAGATGAAATCAAAAGAACGTCATCCTTGTTCCCCAGGTGACCACAGGAGATCCAGAAGCCCCAGCCAAAGAAGAACTCGAAGTAGAAGTTCTTCGTGGGGAAGAAACAGGCGGCGGTCCGATAGCCTTAGAGAGTGAGTACACAAATCTGTCACCGGAGTAGGGGAGAAAAAAAGAATAAAGAGTGAGCACAAAATACGAGCCGATTGAACATTTCATTTGCGACTTTTTGGAAAACATTTGGAAAAGTTTTTCAAAACAGACCACGTGGGGCCGGGCACAGTGGCTCACGCCTATCATCCCGGCACTTTGGGTGGCTAAGGCAGAAGGACCACTTGAATCCAGGAGTTCCAGGCCAGCCTGGGCAAGATAGTGAGACCTTGTCTCTGCAAAAATAAAAAAATTAGCTGGGAATGGTGGCACATGCCTGTAGTCCCATCTACTCAGGTGGCTGAGCAGGAGGATTACCTAGGTAACAGTGAGACCCCGACTCAAAGGAAATAAGTAAATAAACAGGTCACTTGTATTGTTTTGTGTAATATACATGGACAGTCGATTTTTGTAGGAAGATATGCTCCTCTGTGTCACGTATTGTTATGTAACTTGGGTTTATTGGATTCCTTCCTGTGTATTAATTTCAATGCAGACTTCACTTTAATTGAGATAATACTGAAGAAAAAGCCAAAAATATATACTCAACAAAAATGGTGAGGATTTTTTTTTTTTGACTAGAAGTCTCTCTCACTCTGTTGCCCAGGCTGGAGTACAATGGCACTCTCATGCTCACCCAGCTAATTTTTTAATTTATTGTAGAGATGAGGTCTTGCCAGGTTGCCCAGGCTGGTCTCGAACCCCTGGGCTCAGGCTATCCTCTCACCTCCCCCTCCCAAAGTGCTGGGATTATAGGCGTGGGCCACCACGCCCAACTAAGATGAGGAATTTTAGATGAATTTTCGTAATTGGAATCTTGAGTTCTAAAAATGATTAAACTCAAAAATATGATACAATCACTTGTGAAAGGAGGTTGACTAAAGACTAATGTTAATATGAATCAGTTTACTTATAAATGGTAAATTATTATCAAGAAGAAATTCCAAGTACGGCAATGTTGAAGAAGACCTAAAACATAGTAATTTGGGCCAGGCACAGTGGCTCACACCTGTATTCCCACCACTCTGAGAGGTTGAAGCAGGAGATTTGCTCGAGCCCAGCAGGAGTTCAAGACCAACCTGGCCAACGTAGCAAGACCTCATCTCTACAAAAAAAATAAAATAAAATTAGCTGGGTGTGGTGTCACATGCTTGTAGTCCCAGCTTCTTGGGAGGCTGAGGCAGAAGGATCACCTGATCCCAGGCAGTTGAGGCTGCAGTGAGCCATGACTGTGCTACCGCACTCCAGCCTGGGTGACAGTGAGACCTCGACTCAAAAAATACGTAAATAAATAAAAACGTAAAAATAAATACATAAATAAAAAGACTGTAGTGACCTGGTTCCTATCCCTCCAGGCAAATGGAAGGGAAAGAGTAGAAGAGAGAAACCACATCCACATTCTTTGACTTTTTAATATCCAAGAATCCCGCTTGCTAGAAAATGTGGCCTAGTCAGAACCCTCAAATCTTACATGTCAGTTGTGTATGTAACTCTCCTCTGGTGTGAACCAAAGCTCTGATTTTGGCCCATCCTTGGTTAGGTGTGAAGGTGGGAAAGCTTGAAGCACCTTTTATAAGCCTAGAGAACCCAGGTCAGCATTGGGCCATTGCTAGGACTGGTGAAGAAAAATTTAGAAATGGCCATAGTGTATTCTGGAACCTGATCCTTTTTATTATCCTTTCTCCGGGAAGGTAACTGTGTAAACTTCCCTTGCATCTTGTGGAGAATTATCCCATTTGTTCCATGGTTAAGGGAAAGCCATTTTCCCATTGATTGGCTATTTGAGATTTAGACAATGATGTATATTTTCTACACTCAAATACAAGGTTATAGTTACAGAACATGAAACATGGTGAGAGCAAATATATATATATATATGTTATATTCTGTATATAGTTGACATGCCTTGCAACAAGAAAGCAATGCCAATACCAATTATACTGCTTCTTGCTTTACAGAGGATTTGTAGATGATGTTCAACATTACAGACTATTGTGAATTTTATTTCTATCAATATATACATATACATTTTGAGTATCCCTTATCCAAAATGGCTGAGACTGGATTTCATATTTTTCAGTGTTTCAGATCTCATATTTTTCTGATTTTTTGGAATATTTGCATATAGATAATGAGGTATCTTGGGGATATGACCCAAGTCTAAACATGAAATTCATGTATGTTTCATACACACCTTAAACACATAGACTGGAGGTAATTTTATACAAGATTTTAAATAATTTTGTGGACCGGGCTCGGTGGCTCAGCCTGTAATCCCAGCACTTTGAGAAGCCGAGGTGAGTGGATTGCCTGAGCCTTGGGTTCAAGACCCACCTGGGCAACTTGGCGAGACCTCACCTCTACAATAAATCAAAAATCAGCCGGGTGTGGTAGCATGCACCTGTAATCCCAGCTACTGGGAAGGCTGAGGCGGCAGGCTCGCCGGAGCCTGGCAGGTCGAGGCTGCGGTGGCTGGGAGCGGCCGCTGCACTCCCGTCTGGGCCACAGAGTGAGACTCCGACTCAAAAAAAAAAATTATTTTGTGTATGACCGCGACTAGTCACATGGGGTCAGGTGCGGAATTTTCCACTTGTGGTGCCACGTTGGCCCACAGAAAGTTTTGGGTTTTGGGTTAGGGCTGCTCAACCTGTACGTGTTTAGCCTACGTTTAGGATGATTAGAATTGTATATGTAAATTGAACAGGTTAATCTATAAATCAAAGATCAAAGTAGATATAATGTACCTAAGCAGCACTGTCCTAAATTATTATAATTTACAATAATAAATAATTCACTGGCCTAGACAAAACACATTTAGTTTGCAGAAGAAAAAAGAAAAGAAGTTGTCCACTGGATTCATTAAGAGTTTAACTACTCGGAAGGCTGAGGCGGAAGGATCGCCGGAGTGAGACTCCAACTCAAAAAAAAAGAGTTTAACTTGTTTCCAAGTACTTTAGAGCCTCAGTTAACGAGTTTTTTCCTCCTGATTGCTCCGAATAAGGTGTATAGTCACTTCATCTTCCACCTTCAAGTGGAAGTGAAGTACAGCACTTGGCTGGAAAACAGACGCAAAAAAAACAGTGGCTATTAATTGTCCCAAATTATCAGGGAATATTAGGAATAAAAAGTACTCCATTTTTCAAGACAATACTGTTCTGCTTTGCACTAGTTATGAGACCATTGCTCAACTTCCCTGACCCCAGTTTTTCTCATTTTAAAAATTGTATTATGGAGAATGTAAGTCATACCCAGCTCTCAAAGTGTTCGTAAGGACCAGATTTTTGGTGAGTGAGTGTGTGTCTATATTTATATTTGTGTGATGCATGGATCAGAATATGTATTAGCCTGACATATACAGTTTATGCGGTATATATGGTATTGCCTTGTACTATAAAGAGGTCTCTTCTTTTGCCTTTAGTGGACGTAGGAAAAAGACTAGTTTGTGGCTTGCTCTATGAATTCTTTGGGGGACAAGGACTTTTGTCTTGTTCATATTTATATCCCTAGCACTTAGCAGTAGTTGCTAGCTCATATTGGGTATTCCATAAATGTTTGTTAACTTTGTGTGTGTGTGTGTCAGGGTCTCTCTCACTCTGTTGCCCAGACTGGAGTGTAGTGGCACACTCACAGCCACTGCAGCCTCGACCTACTGGGCTCAGGTGATCCTTCTGCCTCTGCCTTCCAAGTAGCTGGAACCACAGGCATGTGCCTACCACACCTGGCCAATTTTTTTGATTTATTGTAGAGACAAGGTCTCACCGAGTTACCCAGGCTGGCCTCGAACCCCTGGGCTCAGGCAGTCCTCTCATCTCTGCCTCCCAAAGTGCTGAGATTACAGGTGTGGGCCACCATACCTGGCCCCTCTTTGCTACTTTATGGTAATGAACAGGTATATTGGAACCCTAAATGTTCCCGAAGAGTGTTAAAATCACTCTTCAACTTCCCTTCCATTAGCTCAAACATAGCATCTTTTTTTCCCCAGGTTAGGATTTTCTTCAAGGACATGTCCTCATTTTGTTTTCTACAACTCTCTATAAGATGAATGAACTTTAATGATTTCTAAGAGACTGTGCCTTTGCTCCAGAATATAGTCTGCATCAATATATTTACACTTTCCCGTGTTCTTCTCCTAGTTCAGTGATGTTATCTAGGATCCTTTTCCTTCAGTAAGGATACTTAATATTTCTTACAGTACATGTCTGCTGGGGGTGGATTCCTCAGCTTTTGTTTGTCTGCAGACATCTTTGTTTTATATTCATTAATAAAGAATATTTTTGCTGAGGATAGAATTCTGTGTTGACCAGAATTGTTTTCATTCTATCTCTGATGTCATTCCATTACTTTTCTGGTGCCTATAGTTAGCTGTCATCTTATTGTTGCTCCTTTGAGGGTAATTCATCTTTTGCTTTCTGGCAGTTTTTCAGAGTTGATGGCTTCTGTTAGTTTTCGAAAACTCTAGGTCATTATCTCTTCCTTTTTTTTTTTTTTTTTTTAGTAGGCGTCTCACTTTGTCACCCAGGATGGAGGGCAGTGGCACACTCGTAGCCACTGCAGCCTTGACCTGCTGGGCTCAGGTGATCCTTCCACCTCAGCCTTCCAAGTAGCTGGAACTACAGGCACATACCACCATGCCTGGCCAATTTTTTGATTTATTGTAGAGATGTGGGGGGGTTTCCACCAAGTTGCCCAGGCTGGTCTCGAATCCATGGGATCAGGCAATCCTCTTGCCTCGGCCTCCCAAAGTGCTGGGATTATAGGCATGAGCCACTGTGCCTGGCCTCAATATCTCTTCAGATATTGCTTCTGCCTTATTCAATCTTTGCTCTTGGTTGTGTGACCTCTGTACTATGTAGCTCTGCTATGAATTTCTTAAAATTCCTTTTCTTTCATTGTGTTTCAGTAGGATTTTTCCTAATGGTCTGTCTTGATTTTCTCTTTAATCTGCTGTATCCAGGTTGCTACGTCAATCTAATTACTTCTTTTTTTTTTTTTTGAGTTGGAGTCTGACTTGGTCACCCAGACTGGAGTGCAGTGGCCGCTCCCGGCCACCGCAGCCTTGACCTGCTGGGCTC